AGCTACTCAGGGGACTGAGGTGGGAGGACTGTTTGAGCCGGGAGGCAGAGGGTGAGCCATGGTCCTGCCATCGTAGTCTAGCCTGGGTGACAGAGTGAGACCCTGTCTCACAAAACAAGACCCTCTCTCCAGCCGTTTGTCCAAGCCACAAGACACCACCTAATGCTGCCGGCAGGGAGCAGGAGAGGATAAGGTTTGCTACAATAATCCTATCATTTAAAAAGACACATGGCTGTGGGTTGAGGGTGAGTGTTTCTTGCCTGGGGCAGGCGGGTTCTCCCCGCAAGCGAGAGGTTTATTAGAAGGTACTGACCCCTTATCGCCCAACGGCACGCTGCTGCTGCTCGGCCGTCTCTCACCACCATCTCTGTTCTTGCTGCTCCGCCCAGAGGCTGGGCCACCTGTTCGGTTTGGGGACTGATCGTACACGAGGTTCCGGCAGGAAGCGAGTTTGGACTCCAGTGCCTGGAGAGAAATACACTTTTATCTCTCAAGTTATAGGCAAGGACTATTCTGTCTTACCGGAGCCCATACAGAAGAACGAACCCCAGACAGTGGTTCTCAAACTGCTGTGCACTGGAATTCCAAGGTGGGACCCCAAGAAGAATCCAATGTATATGCCAGTCTCAGAACCAAGCACCTTAAGTATCTGGGAGCTGGCTGGGCACAATGGCTCACACCTGTAATCCCAGCACTCTGGGAGGCCAAGGCAGGAGGATGGCTTGAGTCCAGGAGTTTGAGACCAGCCTGGTCCACAAAGTGAGATCCCATCTCATTTTTTTTTTTTTAAACTTTTTTAGTCAAGGTCTCACTGTGTCACCCAGGCTGGAGTGCACTGGTGATATCACAGCTCACCGCAGCCTCAACCTTCCAGGCTCAACCAATCCCTCCCACCTCAGCCTCCTGAGCAGCTGGGATTATAGGCGTCCGCAATCATGCCCAGCTAATAAAAAAACTTTTTTAATGCAAAAAATCTTTTAATTACAAAAATTTTTTTAAATGTTTGTGAGCTTCCTGGAAAAAGATCACAGCTCACTGCAGCCTCAACCTCCCAGGCTCAGGCAATCCTCCCACCTCAGCCTCCTGAATAGCTAGGACTATGCACAATCATGCTCCACCAAAAAAAAAAAAAAAAAGAAAAGAAATTAATGAAAAAAATTTTTTTAATTACAAAGAATTGAAAAAAATGGGAGCTTTCTGGAAAATCACTAACCTAACCAATTATCCAACTCCACTCGTAGAAAGTAGGAAATCTACTTCTGGAATCCTTCACTCTTTCCTTTACCTTGTTAAACCTCTGCAGAATGGCAGGAAGTTTGACAAGGACTTGGTCTGGCTGCAACAGACCCTGAGAAAACCAAAAGGACACTGACAGCACCCCAGGCTTCTCTGTACTCCAACTAGGCTAAATATCGAAACGCGGACCTGTTTCTAGAATAGCAAACCAGGCAGCCAAAAGCCAGGAGTAAGAACACAGAAGAAATGAGTTGCAAGCTTCTACTAAGTTGCAGCTATGAATACACTGTGTACAGTGACAACTTGGTAGGAGTTAAATGATGTGGCCTTTCCCTCCCTGTAATTAACATAAAAGCTGAAAGGCCAAGTTCTTTACCTTAGGCTTTCAAGACTGATTGATTGATTGATTGAGATCAAGTCTCACTGTCACCCAGTGGCACGATCTCAGCTCACTGCAACATTTTTCTCCCAGATTCAAGCAATTTTCCTGCCTCAGCCTCCCAAGTAGCTGGGATTATAGGCGCCCGCCACCACGCCTGGCTAATTTTTGTATTTTTAGTACACATGGGGTTTCACCATGTTGGCCAGGCTGGTCTTGAATTCCTGACCTCAGGTGATCCACCCATCTCGGCCTCCCAAACTGTCAAGATTCTCTTAAACCCCGAGAAACAACCAAAAAAAAAAAAAAGCGGCAGTTTTTTTCTTTTCTGAGACAATGTCGTGCTGTCACCCAGGATGGAGAGCAGTGGTGCAATCTCAGCTCACTCAGCCTCGACCTCCCAGGCTCAAGCAATCCTGCCACCTCTTGGCTTCCTTAGTAGCTAAGACCACCAGTATGCACCACCAGGCCTGGCTAATTTTTGCATTTTTGTAGAGGCAAGTCGGGGCAGGAGGTTTCACCATACTGCCCAAGCTGGTGTCAAACTCCTGAGCTTAAGTGACCCTCCCAAACTACTGGGATTGTAGGTATGAGCCACTGCATCCAGCCAAAAGAGAAAGCAGTTTCTAAACACTCCTCAGTTTTTCAAATTAAGGAAAAAACTCATCTTAATTTCCCAAATTGCCTAGAGGAAAAATGGTAAAAGGAAAGAGACATACATAGAGTTCAGAGCAATGCTTAGAGTCAGAGCTCTGAGTGTCTGGCAGTAACTCCCACAGAAAGTTCTAATGATTCCCAGGGATGCTAAAGGAGCAGCCACATCTAAAACTCACCACATTGCTATTAAAGGGGTTGGACGCATTGGCTCATGCCTGTAATCCCACAACTTTGGGAGGCCAACCTGGGAGGATCCCTTGAGGCCAGGAATTTAAGACCAGTCTGGGCAACACAGCGATACCCTCGTTACTACAAAAAATGAAAACATCAGCCAGGCATGGTGGCGCACACCTGTGATCCAAGTTCCTCGGGAAGCTAAGGTAGGAGGATCGCTTGAGACCAGGAGTTTGAGGAGTTCAAGGTTGCAGTGAATTGTGATCATACCACTACACTCCAGCCTGGGCAACAGAGCAAGACCCTGTCTCTTAAAAAAGGAAAAAAATAAGAGGGCAGGAACTAGATCAACCCCCCTTCACACATCCTGAAAGATAGGCAGGAAGGCACCAAATACCAGAAAAGTGTGTTCTTACCCCAACTTTCCGCAGTAGGTCTCCCACGATGTTGAGGGCTGATATCCGGGCCGCAGGCGTGAGGGGAGTTCCCCCGGTGGAGTCGTCCAGGCCTGGGTGTGCAAACGGAAGAGCATATAACTCACCAACCTATACTCATGTCCGTGAACTAACATCACTAGGTTCCAAACCACAGGACAGGAGGGGCGCTGACGCCTTTCCTCAGATCTCAAAAGCTACCCTATTTCTTTCCGTAGTTAACTGCATCACACGCCCAAGGCCTATATGACAACCAATTTTTCAAGTCCTTGTGATGACTGCAACAAATATTTATTTTTACATGTAAAGGTTTTTTTTTTTTTTTTTTTTAGACGTTGTCTTGCTGTCACCCAGACTGGAGTGCAGTAATGTGATCTCGGCTCACCGCAACCTCCACCTCCTAGGTTCAAGCGATTCTCCTGCCTTGGCCTCTTGAATAGCTGGGATTACAGCCATGTGCCACCACACCCAGCTCATTTTTATATTTTTTATAGAGAGAGTTTCACCACGTTGTCTAGGCTGGTCTCGAACTCCTGACCTCAAATGATCCGCCCGCCTTGGCCTCCAAAAGTGCTGGGATTACCGGCATGAGCCACCATGCCTGGCCTTTTAAAAAAATTTTTTTTTGAGAGAGATAGGGTGTCACTATGTTGCCCAGGCTGATCATGAACTTCTGGTCTCAAGCGATCCTCCCACCTCGGCCTTTCCAAGGGTTGGTATTTACAGGCATGAGCCACCGTGCCCAGCCATATTAGTCTTTTTTAAAAAACCCAAAACAAATCCTTGTGAAATTGTAGGAAATCCATATAGTTAATTAACATAATGGCACCGGTGATAGATATAAGAACTATATAGACAGGATGATCCAGCTTTACAAGGGTTCAGCTCTGCAAGCTTCTCTTCTCCAAGTGGGGTCCATGCACCAGCAGCACCTGAGAACTCTTAGAAATGCAGAATCTCTCGGCCAGGCATGGTAGCTCACACCTGTAATCCCAGTGCTTTCGGAGGCCGAGGCATGGAGTTGCATGCCTCTAGTCCCAGCTACTCAGGAGGCTGAGGCAGGAGGATCACTGGAGCCCAGGAGTTGGAGGCTGCAGTGAGCTAAGATTGCACCACTGCATTTCAGCCTGGGCCACAGACCAAGACTGTGTCTCTAAAGGAAAAAAACAAAACAAAACAAAACAAACAATGAAATAAAGTATGCAAAATGGCTCTAGACTGGGGCCAGGCACAACAGCTCACACCTGTACTACCACCACTTTCAGAGGCTGAGGCAGGCAGATTACCTGAGGTCAGGAGTTTGAGACCAGCCCGGCCAACATGGTGAAACTCCTTCTCTACTAAAAATACAAGATTAGCCAGGCTTGGTGGTGGGTGCCTGTAATCCAAGCTTACTCGGGAGGCTGAGGCAGGAGAATCACTTGAACCCAGGAGGAAGGGGTTGCAGTAAGCCAAGATCGCACCATTGCACTCCAGCCTGGGTGACAGAGCGAAACTCCATCTCAACAAAACAAAACAAAAGGGCCCTGGCACTGGGATTCTACAAGTCTCACTGGTCTCTTCATGCCCAGGGGACAAGGTAAGGGAGGAGGCAGTAGATGGTAGGGTAAGATCTGGAGACTGCCTGCCTGGGTCTGAATCCCAAACCATCTGCCATTCAATTACTTTATGACTCTGCTTAACTCAGGGCCTCACTTCCATCCTGGGCCTGCGGCGAAGGCTGCACGGTGGCCAGCACACACTGAGCACCCCATAACTGTCTTATTAATATCTGCTGTAAAAGGCCTGATTGGAAGCTGTCGGCAGAGGGTCTGGGGTGAGAATTCGGATTTTCCCGCCCATGCAGCACAGGTTACACTGAGTCTAGCTCTCGGTGGATGCATTACCAAACCCACAGAATGCTTTTTACTTTTTTGTATTTGGTTAGTGACATTTCAAATTTGGGAGGTTTTATATTCAAAAAGAGGATTTTGGGCCAGACGCAGTGGCTCACACCTGTAATCCTAGCACTTTGGGATCAGCCAAAGCAGGCAGATCACTTGAGTCCAGGAATTTGATAGCAGCCTGGGCGACATGGCAAGGCCACGTCTCTACCTAAAATACAAAAGTTAGCCAGGTGTGGTGGCGCGCGCCTTTAGTCCCAGCTACTCCGGAGGATGAGGTGGGAGAATCACTTGAGCCCATGACGCAGAGGTCACAGTGAGCCAAGATAACATCACTGCACTCCAGCCTGGGTGACACAGTGAGATCCTGTCTCAAAAAAAACCAACAACAAAAAAAGAGGATTTCTGGCTTTGAAGAATGGAAAAAACTGCAGATGAGGGGCTGTTCCTTCTAGTGCAGAGTGGCAGCCACCCGCTCTGGGTGGGGTTTCCATTTCCCAGCGCATCACAGACCCCACTACTCCCTCACACCCACTCCTCACTCATCTCAATTGCCCATCCCCAGGAACATCCCAGTCTACTCTCTGCTCAAAGCCCGAGAGTAAATCAGGCTCTGAGCCTGGTGCAAATCATCACACACCCAGGACCCACCCCAGATTCTTACCCAGAAACACTTTGTGAACCAAGAAAATTCTCCAATTCCCACTCCCCTTACCACGTCTGAAGCTCCCGGGTGTGTTTAAACTCGAGCTGGGTCCTCGGTGAGCGATGGGCGTGGACGGCACAGAGCCCGTGGCCTGCACAGCTGTGTCTGTCCTCTCAGCTTCCACTGAGCTGGGCATGGGGGTCCTGGGTTTCTCCTGCTTCTGCTGCACGGCCAGTTCCTGCCGCAAATCTGTGCCAGGAAAAGGATTCAGGAATTCAAGTCGTCGGCCAGGCGCCGTGGCTCATGTTTATAATGCCAGCACTTTGGGAGGCCAAGGCCGGCGGATTGTCCAAGGTCGAGTTTGAGCCCAGCCTGACCAACATGGTGAAAACCCATCTCTATAGAAAATGCAAAAACCAGCCAGGCATGGTGGCAGGCACCTGTAATCTCAACTACTCAGGAGGAAGAGGCATGAGAATCACTTGAATCTGGAAGGCCAGGTGGCACTGAGGTGAGATTGCTCCAGTGCACTCCAGTCTGGGTGACAAGAGCAAGACTCCGTCTCAAAAAACAAAAAGGGAATTTAAGCCCTGGCTTAGGGTTGGTGGGGTGGAGGTATAGAGGTTCAACAGTAGATACTGGTCAGAAAAAAGACCTACTGGGGTGAAACACTCCAGGTTGAAACTCCAAATAAAGGGAAACCCACAGGACCTTGCCTAGCAGACTTACAACTCTACAGGATTTTTCTCTTGACTAACAAAATAGTTTCAGATTTTTAAAAAGCTGTGACAGTGACACACTAATGCTTTTATTATTGAAAAAACAATTCCAACATAGCAGTGTATTTAGAATACTAAATGAAAGTATGCCCAGGAGCAGTGGCTCATGCCTGCAATCCCAGCACTTTGGGAGGCTGAGCTGCAAGAATCTCGTTAATCC